ATGCGACTCATCTGCGATTATGAACGCGATATAGCAGTGATCTACGGCTCTGTGTATTAAATCGCGCTCCATCTGAAAGCACGTGATGGAGATTTACTACTAATCACAGAACCGGCTTTACTGACAAGATGCGCATGACAATCACATGCGATTTATCGTGCAGCCCTAAGTTTGTTTGCTGATCACAAAGTACAAAATAGATGAGGAAAACTAGGAAGCAGGGTGTATTCAAAGCGCCGCCATTACTGTCTAGAGTGCGTGGAATGGTGCGCTGTGATTGATTGAGCGGATATATCGCATTCTGCAGAGAAGGGAGACTGGCGTTTGTCGCAGAAAGAAAAGGAGAAAACATGACAGAATAACTCGGCGGATATCGCATTTTGTGTAAAATAAAAAATTTACTTTTCAATACTGACCAGATACAATACTGATTTTGGCAGAAACAAATTTTTTTTTTAAATGGCGTTTATCGCGTTTTGGAACCAAACTCTTCATATGGAAATAAAAGCTAGTCTCTCCGTGTATATGTATATAAAATGTAATTTTAGTTGAATGGTATATTGCTACAAGTTTGAAATAAAACAAAGATTGAGTATGCTTTACAAGAAAATCCCATTTCAGTTTTTCTACTTCAAAATTTCACATTTAATTGTGTTATTTGCCATTTGTTTGTAATTGTGAAATTTACTAGCAATTTCTGAGTGAATATTATTTCTTCATTTTTTCTCTCTGTGTAAAAGGCTTAAAAACATAAAAAGTTACTTTTAACATCATATTTCCCCCTCTTTAAACTAATTTATTTATTTAACCATCAAACTACAACATATTTTGGCCAAGATCCTTTACAGTGCCAAGAGAAATCAGTGCAAACTGTATTAATCACCACATACTAGGGGTGTACCGAACAAATACAGCGTTGTTTTAACCACTGCACAAATGGAACTTCATTGAAAACTTCCAGATTTATATATTGTTACTTTTGATAAGAATCAAAGTCTCATCTTTCAAATGATGTCCTTTTTTTGAGGAAATTCCAACAATAAATGCCGTTTTGGCACTCTTTGATGTGGCGACAGATCGCTGTATAAACGCCTCAGTTCAGACGGCAGCGTGATCATCTCTTCCTCTTTACTACTAGTTTAAACATGAAATAAACATGAAAGAACATCTCACGCCTCATGTAATCACTCAATCAGTGTTTCAACCGTGGAAAGACATCAATAAAACAGCTTGTAAACAAAATGTCACGTAGCATTTCATCACAGCTCGTTAGTGTGCTATAAATGTAGTCTAGAGAAGAGCATTTCACGAAATATTAGACTTTATACTCATTATGTTTTACTTACCTGTTAGTGATGTCTTAATTATTTAATGTATGTTTAAATAAATCTGTTATGAGGGCCGAAGTTGCCCAGCCCTGGATCAGAGCATAAGCTGCGGTAGATTTTTATCCCTAAGAAAATGTTATTTATAATGTAATTTATTTAAAGAAAGAGCAATTTGTTCAGTAAACAGCTGTTTAATTAAAAAAAAAGCAATTTTATGTTTAGTTTTTTCCCCAAGTTGTACCGAGGCACGTACAGAACCGTCATGTTTGTGTACTGTTACACCCCTACCACATACTGTATTAATACTGACAAACAGAAAACAGTAAAGTCAGCTGTAAAATTGTAAAAGCAATTATTCAAAGGCAAAAGAAAATAAATATTAGCTAAGTTAGACTTAATTTTGTTAATGCATTCTTATAATTAAAATATGACATTAAATATAAATATAATATTAACAATACATATTTATAGTTGCTCATTTTCTTATAAAGTGTATTTTTAAAATATAAATATAAACAAAATAATTATGACTAATTATTGAATAACTAATTAATAATTTCATATGAATTTTTTTAATTTAAAACATTGTCATATTGTAAGTTGTGTTAAATTCTCTTTTGCATCAGTTTATGTTTTTGTTTCGTTTATTAAAAGGGGTTCATCTTCTATGTATGGAAGCCTGTTTCCGCCACTGAATAAAAAATAAAAAAAGGTAATTGCGACTTTTTATCTCACAATTCTGACTTTTTTCTCAGAATTGCGCGATACAAACTCTCAATTGTGAGTTAAAAAGTCATAATTGTTAGATATAAACTCGCAATTCTGAGAAATAAAGTCAGAATTGTGTGATATAAACTCGCAATTGCGAGACATAAAGTTTTTATCTCGCAATTGTGACTTTGTATCTCGCAATTCTGAGAAAAAAAGTCAGAATTGTGTGATAAAAATTAGCAATAAACTTTTTTTTAAATGTTTTATTCAGTGGAGGAAACGGGCTTCCATATATATCATATGTTAACCCCAATAAATTAAAATGTATGAATTTTCCTTGAGATGGCACAATGCATTTTATTTACTTTTAAATGTGTTATAATGTTAAAAATCATACAGACATTTACTTTAAAAATCACTTTATCAAACTGTAAAAGGCAGCCGTTTCATAGAACTATCCTGTAATGGATTTTGGATGTACTTGAAACATCATCATGTGGTCATGTGGCTTTCCTTGTGGTCATGAGCTCTGTGTGTGTGTCTGTGTGTGTGTGTGTGGTCAGGTCGTCGAGAGAGACGGGCAGTGGAGAGAAGCTGGAGCTGAAGATGACAAACATCGGTGCAGATGTGCTGGAGCTGCTGCTGGAGTTTGTCTACACCGGCTCGCTGGTCATCCACTCGGCCAACGCCAAAACCTTGCTGGAGGCCGCCAACAAGTTTCAGTTCAACACTTTCTGCAAAGTCTGCGTGTCTTTCTTAGGTGCGTAACTCATAAGATCACAGCGTCCCATCAGATGGAGTCATGTACACGCTGTATGATGCATTCTTTCATTTGTATAAAGGTCAAAGAACAATTGCATTGAAATGTCAAACCTGATGTCACAATCTCATCCAGAATTGATTATACCGATCAATACCAAATATAGAGGAGGTTCAGATGACATGTAGGCGCCTGATGTGACCAACAGAGTGAGGAAAGGTCTGGCAGGAGATGAGGAACAATTTAGGCCGAGAAAGTATATGTGTTTCTTCACTTTGAAACCTGTGAACTGGCAGTACATCCAACCGGCCTCACAACCACAGACCACGTGTAACCACACCACACCAGCCCAGGACCTCCACATCCAGCATCCAGGTTGTGAGGCCGGTTGGATGTACTGCCAAATTCTCTGAAACGCCTTTGGAGACAGCTTATGGTAGAGAAATGAACATTCAGTTCACGGGCAACAGCTCTGGTGGACATTCCTGCAGTCAGCATGCCAATTGCCAATCTATGGCATTGTGCTGTGTGATAAAACTGCACATTTTAGAGTGGCCTTTTATTGTGGCCAGCCTAAGGCACACCTGTGCAATAATCATGCTGTCTAATCAGCATCTTGATATGCCACACCTGTGAGGTGGATGGATTATCTCGGCAAAGGAGAAGTGCTCACTAACACAGATTTAGACAGATTTGTGAACAATATTTGAGAGAAATAGGCCTTTTGTGTACATAGAAAAAGTCTTAGATCTTCGAGTTCAGCTCATGAAAAATGGGGGCAAAAACAAAAGTGTTGCGTTTATAATTTTGTTCAGTATAAATATATATATATATTAGGGCTGTCAGTCGATTACAATTTTTAATCTAATTAATTACATGATGTGTCGATTAATTAATCGCAAATTACTTATGGCTGTGAAAATACCCCCAAAAGATTATTTAAAGCTATGTTTTGTGTTAAATGATAAAGTATTAAGTAGACATTAAAAATAGTAACTGTAGAAAGAAATATTTGATTTGATTCAACAAAATGTATTACACATACACGTTTAGGCTACAAAGGCCTAACATAAACTATGGAACATAAAAGAAGATAATTTAAGAAACATTTTTTTTTTCGTTCATACAATGGAAGTCATTGGTAACCAAAAAAGCTTTGATACCAACAGTCTTCAAAATACCTTCTTTTATGTTCCAAAAAAGAAAGTCATTAATGACATAATTTAAACATTTTGGTTGAACTATCCTTTAAATTTGTTATTTTTTTAAATTAAATAATACTCTAAATAAAAAACTAAAACTGCCAGCAGGTGGCGGTAATGAGTCATTAATTCATTCGATTCGTTTAAACAGCTGATTCATTCAGGAATTAAGTAAACGGCTCTCTTTTAACAGTATTAAAGGGGTCATATGATGCAATTTAAATTTCCTTTCTCTTTGGAGTGTTACAAGCTCTTGGTGCATAAAGAAGATCTGTAAAGTTGCAAAGACTAAAGTCTCAAATCCAAAGAGATATTCTTTATAAAAGTTAAGAGTTAACCACACCTACCTAAAACGCCTCGTATAAACACGCCCCCACATGTCTACGTCACGATGTGGGAAGATTTGCATAACCCCGCTCAAATGTTCACGCAAAGAAAGAAGGCGTAACTTTTATTCTCGCTGTAGTATTGTTGTTGCCGCCACTTTGTCGTGAAGGCGCTGTGTGTTTCGTTGTGAAAACGAAACTGCTTTGTTTGGTCTTTCAAAAGAGGACGATATCCGCTTCGTCATGCCTAGAGCTGATCTCTGCTGGTCACTGAGGAAATACATCAACTTCGCGCTGTGGATCGCCGGATCGGCTTTCACCGTGGACGAAGCAGAGTCCAGCCCGGGGTCGTCATATGTGGTTGCCGCAGGCCCGCCCGCCTCCGCTCACTCAAGCCGGCCTCCGCATACTCTAGGCCGCGGCTCACTTTAGGCCTCCGGCCTCCGCTCACTCTAGCCCACCATGTGTGTTTGTTTGGCCTTCCAAAAGAGGACACGACTAGAAATCAGTGGCTAAGTTGTATGTCCCCACTGGATGCAACAAATGCCTCGTTTATAGTGGGTTTTCATGTTTTTGTCTCATCACTGTGGCCGGGACAAGGCATCACAATATGGTAAGGGGTGTAACATTTCCGTCACACGCTTGAGGTATTCGGCCAATCACAACGCACTGGATAGCTGGCCAATCAGAGCACACCTCGCTTTTCAGACCGATGAGCTGTATAAAAATCGACACGTTTCAGAAAGGCGGGGCATAGAGGAGAAACAACAATGTACAGTATGTGGAAAATAATGTGTTTTTTTTTAACCTTAAACCACATAAACACATTTCATTACACCAAATACACAAAATAATGTTCTTTTTAGCAACATCATATCACACCTTTAACTTGACAAAAACAGCACTTGTGTGATATAGCTTATCATATGATAAAAAATATGAGACAAAAACTCGTACAGGAGCATTTTTGCCCCAATATCCTGAATTTCGGGGCATACCTGCAATTATGAATATGTTGTCCTGCATCATATTTGTCAACAGTCAACTGTATGAAATGTAAGATGATGTACAGGTCTGGAGGCGGGGCCAGTGCGTTAACTGCGTAAAACTATTTTAATCATGTTATTTTTTCATAACTAATTAATTATGTTAACGCGTTAATCTGACAGCCCTAAATATATATATATATATATACTGTATATACTGTATATATATATATATATGAATTATTTGATTGTTTTACAGACCCAGATTGTCTCAGACTTTCATTCTTAAAATATGAAAATCTAGTTGAAGGTTGGGACAAGGGTAAAACAATAAAATCTTTGCATAAAAAGGAATTTGAAAATAATATTAATAATAATAATAATAATAATAATAACAAACATCAAAAATAAATGGCGAAAGCATAGTAAAAGGTTTTCCAGACATATTCAATGTGACCTTCATTGTAACAAACAGAAAAGAAATCTGTTATTGTCTGTAATAAAATAATCTGTAATTAAAAAAAAAATCAACTCAGTGCTTTTACTTGAAGAAACACTCATTTATAATGCTAGTGGAACATCTCAGGATGGTTCAGTAATGATGCTGCTGAGGTTTGTGCTGCCATTGATATACTATATGCACAGAGAAAGTGGACGAAGTCAAACTTCTGGTTTAAAAGGTCAGTTGATCAGGCAGTAAAGGGATACCAACAAAAGCTATTGATTTGTTTCTTTCGAGTCTGCAGAAGTGCTCCATATGTTTGCAAGTGCTTGTAAGACCCAAACAAATGTAATGCATTCAGAAACATCAGGTTGAGGATTGGTTTGTACCTTTGGACAAAAAATCTGATTGCATGTCAAAGTTGCTAAAGTACAAAACAATTGATTAAGTCAACTGAGGGTGTGTTGAAATGAGGGGAACACAGGTTTGGACATATATTTCAATGCCGAACTTCACAGCACACAGTCTGGGAATTCAAGGACCGCATATTACCAGAGCATGTTTTAAAAATAGGTTTAAGAAAAAGAGGTTAGAGCAGCTGAAATTCTATTGGTAGCGAGGTGTAGCCCATGTGTTTGTGGTGGGCACTGCTGTTTGTAATGCCACACACAGCACCGTTGACTCAGAAACTTCAGAGCGTGTCTGTAAACTCATGCCAGCATCGGGCATAAGCCCTCGCTCTGCGGTCTGTCTGCGGCATGCCATTTACAGCCTCTGGCACAAACCTCACCTAAAAAAGTCATTTTTCCTTCCTCCGAGAGTGGAAGAAGACGAGTGGCCTGTTTGGCTTATTGACGATGGCACGCTGCAGGCCAGCCTCCAAAGACCCAGACATAATAAAAGCCCATCTGCCTCCACCAGGCGCTCACTCAACCATTTTTACAACAGTTTGTACTCTTCTGTTTTATATTGGAAACAAATTGGTTTGCGTAAGACCTGCCGATGTCACGGGAGTTTCATGCGGTCCACATTTATTATGTTAATTCGGATCAGTGATTTAGAGTGATTTAGCCGTGCAGTCCTTGTTGTTTCCAGTCTTGGAGGTATTTGCTGATTGGATTTTGGTCGATGGATTGTCAGAGATGAACATTTTGCATTGCAGCAATCATGAGTTTCAATGTCAGTTACAGTTTTTTTTTTTTGGTTATTTCAAATTTGTATATAACTTTTTTTTTTAATATAATTTTTTTTTTTATCATTTTTTTATAATCATAATATTTTTAAATGTGTACATTTAGAGAACTTTTTTTATTTTTCCTTTTTTATTTTTTGTCATTTTAATTTATTAACAATGTTTTGTGCTAATAACATCATATTATCTCAGTAACATTTCCGTCACACGCTTGAGGTATTCGGCCAATCACAACGCACTGGATAGCTGGCCAATCAGAGCACACCTCGCTTTTCAGACCGATGAGCTTTATAAAAATCGACACGTTTCAGAAAGGCGGGGCATAGAGGAGAAACAACAATGTACAGTATGTGGAAAATAATGTGTTTTTTTTTAACCTTAAACCACATAAACACATTTCATTACACCAAATACACAAAATAATGTTCTTTTTAGCAACATCATATCACACCTTTAACTTGACAAAAACAGCACTTGTGTGATATAGCTTATCATATGATAAAAAATATGAGACAAAAACTCGTACAGGAGCATTTTTGCCCCAATATCCTGAATTTCGGGGCATACCTGCAATTATGAATATGTTGTCCTGCATCATATTTGTCAACAGTCAACTGTATGAAATGTAAGATGATGTACAGGTCTGGAGGCGGGGCCAGTGCGTTAACTGCGTAAAACTATTTTAATCATGTTATTTTTTCATAACTAATTAATTATGTTAACGCGTTAATCTGACAGCCCTAAATATATATATATATATATACTGTATATACTGTATATATATATATATATGAATTATTTGATTGTTTTACAGACCCAGATTGTCTCAGACTTTCATTCTTAAAATATGAA